AATGGGAGTGGTTCCGTGGCTGCCTGATTTGTCCCAGGCGAACTCGGCTTCGTGCAGGTCCTGGCTCGCATCGTCGCGAGTCTTGATGCCTTGCCATCAGGGTTAGTTTTGTTAAGGAGTAGGCTTTAGGGGTTAGTGGTTTAGGGAATAATGGGATTTAGGGATTAGTGTTTTCGGGTTTATGTTTTTGAGGGAGTAGGGTTTAGGGATTACTGCTTTAAGGTTTAGGGATTAGGGTTTTAGAGTTTGGGGTTTAAGGGCTTTGGGGCACTAGTGTTCATAGAGCCTATTTTTTGAGTGTTCCGGTTACGGTTACCATCAACATCACTGTCATCATTCTCGCCAGCACCATCACCATCATCATCAGCATCATGGCCACAATCGCCATGATGATCGCGAGCATCTGCCAGCATCAACTACAACCTCAACACTGCCGTCATTGATGTATTGTTACTTGTTTCATCTTTCGCCCCAACGTTATGGTAGTAGTGTTTCTTGTCGATGTCTTACACCCTAAGTATAGACTCTAGACCCAAAAATCTTGACATCACCGCGGTCACCTGAATCCTCTCCCCATCTCCATGTATGGCATTGGAGATCCTTGAAGCCAGCCCCGAATACATAAGCTGGCACCTACTAGATCAAGGTCCATCTGGGAGTTTCCGAAAATAGGGACCCTAATATAGGACCCTAAATAGTAGGATCCTTACTATAGGGACCCCAAAATAAGGTACCCCTAATTTTCGGAAACTCCCATCTAGAGCGCCCAGTAATCCTAATGAAGGAATAATTACACCGCCGAAGACCCCCAAACCGGAACAACGGCTCCGAGAGATCTGCCATTTTACAAGCCCCACTTGCTAATGCCCCTGGCCCAAATCAGGGTTCAGAGTTTAAGATTTCCGTTTAGGGTAGCGTCGATGTACATACATCCATTCATGCATGCATACATACATATATCTTATATTCTGTCATACTATACTATATTACTATATTGTATATCGTATATTTTGTCGTAGTATATTATTTATCTGAAGACATGTAACATGACGAGCTACAGGCTGCCACAGCCATTTACACATGCACACATGTAAGACACTTCACTTTGGGGTTCAGATATGCATGTATAATGCAGATATACATAACATATATATATATATATACACACACATGTATACACCCTCATGTGGCACATGCATGCAAAGGAAGTTAAAGGCTAAATGTTCTCTACTACACAGCCACTGATGGGTGCACACATGTAAGCCACCACTGACTCTATAAACCCTCACAGTTGTGCCCGTTTACACCTCTCGTAATACCCAACATAAGATCCCATCGAACGGCGTATAGCCCTCATAGAGCCCTTCCGATTACCCTAAACCAGCCCTCTAAAGAACCCTATCCTACACCCATGAACCCTAATCCAAGTCTGGAACCCTTGAAGTATCTTCAAGCCGTAAACCCCATACAAGCTTTAAGGAGTTGCCGGGATGCATTCCTGCAGCTGCGAGGTGTCTCTAACGAAGCTCACTGAGGTCACGGCTCCTCGTGGTTGGCCCGCACGCACAAGTACCCGTCAAGAGTTGTTCTAAGCTTAAGTGCAGTGTGGCCCTTTCTCCTGAGAGAGTTTAGGGTTTCGGCTTTAGGGTTTGGGAGTGACTAATCCTGGCATGAGGGTTTTGGACTTGTAGCTAAGGGTCCATCGCGCTAGGCTTTAAATTTGGGGCGCACTTGGAGGTTCATGAGTAGCGAGAGGTGGGGTGATAAGTACGATAACTATAGCATCGTATTCATAATCCATAATATCTGACTTATGACGTTACTTATGACAATCCATGAACCTCCAAGCAAGATCCAGACAGGTTGTCAGGATTCAGGGTCTATGGCTTCGCTGCAAGTTACATAACCTACAGGCTTTAGGGTTGGGGGTCGTCCGTCTCACCTCTAAATAAGGGACCTATAAGCCCGGAAGCTCTCAAAACCTGACTGCGCATCTCGTCCTTGGCCGAAGATATCTTGGTAAAACCTTGCAGAGACAGCACGACATTGACTGTTTAGATCTGGGGGCTGAGGTCTACCTGGACCCCCGAAATCAGGCAAAATCATGGTCCGATACCTATAAAGAGCCTGTTATTCCATATACTTTTAGGGTCCATGTACTCATATAGTATATACATTGGTCTTAATGTAGTCCTTATATAGGTACATTGGGGCCCATGTATCTCTATATGGGTACATGGACCCTTAGGGTACTCATATACTTTTAGGGTCCAGGTATGCGGGCTAGGAAAGCTTGGATGGGAGCATGAGCTGCTTCTTGTGCCACGTTCAGGTCCCGAAACGTGGGATGTGGCTCACAATAGCAGCTGCAGTACGTAGCATCACACTGCGTCGACCTAACATATACATTATCTACATATCTATCTATATATATATATACGTATATATATATATATACACACACACACACACCCATGCAGTATATAAACATGTACAGCCCTCACAAGGCCAAGCTTGCATGCAAGCGACGTGGTCAGCGCAGGCACAGTGCGAAACCTAAGTTGGGATTGGGCCCTTCTCCCTGAAGTCTTCCACTGGGCTTCGAAGGACTCATGCTTTCCGTGTGGAGCCATGCATGCCATTAGCTCGTCCTCTGAACCTGAATTGCTCATCAACTGCACTCTCCTCCTTGCGACAAGATTCAGGGCCGAACGAGTTTAGGGTTCAGGGTTTACTGCCCTAAACCCTACCTAAAACAATATCCAACATAAGCCAGCGTATCTAAAGATTCAGGGTTCCCAACCGTAAACAACTCTGTAAAACCTAAACCCTAGTCTTCTCCTTTACAGTACCAGCACCACAACAACACCATTGGCTGAATCCCAAGTCACTCGGTGGGGATGAACTCCACCAGCACAGTGTTCCTTTGTATGCTTCCAAGGTGTCAGGGTGTCAGGGTCTAGGCTCTAGCGTTGAGGGCTTAGGATCTAAATACAAAAATCCTCCAAGCACCCTTATAGAACCCTTGACGGGTGACACATATAAGAAGCGTCAAAATCCAAACCCTGAGCTAATTGCGTCTTCATCCGAGGATCGCCCTAGGCAGGGGCATCTTCATCAGCCACTGCTTCCGACGGTCCTCGAACTTCGTCTCCTGCTTGGAACACGGTGCAATGTAGGGGCCCGGTTTAGGGTTTAGGGTTTAATCTTATACTTACTGTAATCATAAAATGAAACCCCGCAAAAAATTGTAGGTAATTGCAAGGCCTCTATAGTAGTAGGGTTTCGGGTTTGCGGAAAGACCAGGGCATTGGCATAGGGGCCTCAATGATTAGAACAGGTTTGATGGACATAGTACAGCATAATCGTACTTTATCATTATCAAAAGACCCCAAGGAATTGTGATGTACGATTACTATATTAGGCCTCCTTCGGCGCATGGATTGGGTCTGCGATCCAGTCTAGGCTTTAGGATTTAGCTGCACTTCGGGTTGCTATTGCCTGACACACCGTACCCAGAGACACCCAACACCCTGATGTTACGAGTATGGTTAATTTCTTTCAGTGAGAACTTGCGGCTTGACATGGGGACGTCCACAGACTTTTGAAACTTATGACATTGCTTGCTTAAGGCCTCTGTCTACACCGCATGGTACAGAGAGCCTCAATCAGGCTGGCCCGGGAAAAGAACCGTATGGCACCCTCAGAGCTATATGTGAAATTTCGGGCAAAGGCTTACAGTATGTCAATGACTGTCAGCAGCTCAAAGCTCTAGCCGCAGCCATCAGCACTGTGGCTGAGGGTTTAGGGTGTAGGGCGTAGGGTTTACCGAAACTTACACAATGTTGCTTGCTTTTCTTGGCTGAAGGCGACTCTTCTGCCACCCCAGCAGGCTTCAGGCTAGATACGCCACTCCGCGCCCAAACTCTGAACCCTGAACTCTAAACCCTAGACTGTAATTAAACTCTAAACCCTGAACCCTAAGCACTAACTGCGCGAACCCTGCACACTGCGCCTGTGTGTGAAAGACCAACATCTGCACGCCGCACACCACATACCAAACGAAGAGGGAAACCGGCCAGCAGACCAGGCTTCCCCTTAGTTAGGGTTTAGCATGCTTGGGTTGTTCGTTTTTTCTGTACAAGGGCTTCTACAAGGGTTGCTATGAGGGTTACTATAAGGTTGTATCGGCCTCAGTAGCCTCAGGGAAATGGGGCCTTGAACATTAGAAGTCGGTTTCTGGTCTGTCTAATCATGAAAGTATAATACGGAACCTTAAAGGAATAAGACATAACGAGACTTTCAGTATTATGTTGTGTGTATACTGCTCGTAAGGCCTTTCATCAACTTCGGCATCTGGTCATGGATTTCAGTCTATGTAGGGTTTAAGAGTTTGGGGTGTGGGATTTATGGGTTTCGGGTCTTATAGGGCCTTGGGAAGTCTGTGGTGTTGCGGCTTCGGGCATCTAGGGCTGGAGGAGCCACCGGTCCTTCGGCTTCGGCGGCTAGTTCGAGGGCTCCCCGGCTCTTTGTAGGGAATGCAGGAACCCTATGGCAGTCCCTTATAGTAGTGCCTATAACCCATTCCCTCATTCCCTACAAAGAGCCGGCAGAAGGTGTTGGGTGTGGGTGGAAACATGATCGCAACAGAACGCCTCTTGCTCGAGGCTGCTATCCACCTGTAGTCTCCAGTGCGGTTCCTCTTCGTGGCCAACAAGTTTGGGGTTTTGGATCCTATAACACAACACAAGGTAACCAAGAAACCAGGATAGTAGGGAGACTATGTAGGCAAAACTGTAAATGGGTCTATCTGCATCTGGGGCCCAATGAATTTTAGCAGAATCTCAGGTGTCAAGCTGTGGGCAAGTTCGGAAGAAAACCGTCAACTTCACAGAACCCAGCGAACTACTCAGGCCTGATTTTTTTGTTATCAAGGTTTTCGGGATGCCTACGAAAGAATGTTCATGAGTGTTTTTTCTAAAGCATCTGCCGTAGCCAAGTTACTCACTCACATTGGCAAAGCCGATCAAGCTCAGTCGGTTGTCTGCTGCGTGTCCACCGCTAAAAGCATATAGTGGACCTCGATCAGTTGCTGTGCGTTGGGTTGAGAGAGGATGCTCGAGCTCCGGGCCTAAAGAAGTCTTTACGTTTTAGCGTTACAGTAGAAGCCAGAAAGTTGGAATATGATTTTCCTAAACCCTTTATGGCAAATTATAGGGTATCCTACCCTGATACCATATTCCAACTTTCTGGAGTTCCCAGTATGGCCTAGCAAAGAAGACAGGCTAGAGGCCTTTGCCTGAGGGGCAGGCACATCCGCAAGAGCCCTCAAACCCGCAATCAGAAAGCGGTAAGCCCATACTTCCCTTCAGGGTTTTGGTGCGTAGCATGCTGTCTCCGGGTTAAGGTTTAGGTTCCAGGTGTCCCGGTTCCTGGCCGTTTCGGTCCTTCAACCGTTGCTCAGAGGTCACTGACATAGCGTCATCTCCAGAAGTGACCTGTGGTGTGCCTGTGAATATGATGCACAATACATGTGTGATCGCCGCAAGAGATTTCATACTGCACTGCAGTATGACGAATGTGTTGCTGAACCATCAGCTGGGAAAATACTCTCCAGTAGTCCGTCACCCTGAAAACCCAAAGCCTCCACACCCTAACCCGTACTCGCCACTGCCGAGCTCCATGCTTACAACTCAAGTTCAATAACCATGAAACAACAACAAGAAGAAACTACCAGAACAAAGGGGGTCGACACCTAAAGGGTTTCTTCTTATGAAACCTATACACAATCCCTTTAAAAAAAAAGCAGAGCTGTTGGTCTACAGGTCCCCCGCGCAAAAGCTTACGATTCCCGAGGGTACCTGAAGCTGAAGCTAATCACTGAGAGCACTGCTCCCCTGCTGCCTTCCTTCCTTGCTTTCTTGGAGGGTCGGGGGACTTAGTAAGTAGGTAGTAAGTAGACCTATAAGTACCCTAAAGGGGACACTAATTGGGGTTATAGTACTTATAAGTCCCTAAATAACCAGTAACGAAGTTCCGCAAGTACGACCGAAGCAGTCCTGCTGTAAACTGTGCACCTTATGGGCTGGGCCCAAGCCCCAAACCCTACAGTAGAAGCCAGAAAGTTGGAATACCATTCTCGTAACCCCTTTAAGGTAAATTATAGGGGATCTTACCATTAATCCATATTCCAACTTTCTGGAGTTCCCTTTAAACACTTAAACCCTACTTGTAACCCCTCGAACTTCAGATCGATCGAGAAGAAGACGGACAACAAAGAACACACTTTTACGGTTTAGTGTTTAGGGTTTAGTTTAGGGTTCAGGGTGAGAATGTCCAAAGACGTTAGACAAGACTTTCCCTCCGAGTTCCTCAACATAAATTTCGGATTTGGCATGGGGTTTGTTGGGTCGGAACCTCCCAAAGCCTTGAAAGAACACCCTCCATACGAATACCCCAAGGTCGCCACTGAGAACGCACACCGCTGGAGCGCCAATAAGCAGCATCACCTTCATAACCTTGATGCTGGTTTAAGGTTTAGGGTTAGGGCTCACCTCTCAAAATCTTGTCTTGTCCCAGAGGGTTGTGTGTTGAATACACCGAGGAGCCACAAGACCTTCATATGCTTTGCGGTAGCATTACATCCTGTGCACAACGGTGTCGTCTGGCTTTGTTCTAGCTGAGATGTGAGCGAACTCCGGGGCCATCATCCCGGTGGAGAAGGGTACACAAAGGCGCAACCCGAAACATGCATTGACCTATACTGAACTTAGATCCTGAGCAAAGATTATAATTTCAGCTGTTTGTTAAGGATTATAGGACCCACAAATAAAAAAAAAAAAAACAAGAACTAACTTGTCTAAGCCAAAAAGCCATGGTGCGCCTGAAAGATGCGAACCCTTCGGGCATGGGTCTTCCCGAAGTGGTCACTAGCGACCCGAGCCCCCCTGATCCGCCACATGGATGCTTGTCAAAATTAGGGTCCCTACTATTTGGGTACCCTAAATGATAGGTGCGGTATTATACTAGGGACCCAAAAAGGGACCCTAATTTTGACAACCACCCAGATAGAGGCCTCAAGAAGTACAATAGGGTTCCCTTAAAGGGGTCTAGACAGGATCTATAAGGGTACTGTCATGCAGGGGCCTTAATAATCAGAATGGGGGTTTTGGGGCCCATTGAACTATAAATATACTGAGGAACCCCCAAAATGATGTTGGTAAATATCTACGCCCCTGTATTACACACTGGTTTTATTTTCAAGTTCAGGACCAGCCACAGCCCTCAAAAGCCTCGCGTATTCGACACTTGTGGGCTAGACTCCCGAAACATGCGTCTCCAGCACCGGAAACGAGAAACCTCCCAAACTCTATAAACCCTGACTGGATCCCTTATGCCATCCTTTACACGAAAGCACTCTCGAAACTACTGAACAGAGCAGGCTGTGGAAGTCTGCAGAATGGGGCCCCGGCAAACTGGGCGAACTCGATGAGGAGCCCTTGGCAGTCCAGCGCGACGGTTTGGGAGTTCAGAGGTTCAGGGGTTTAGGGGTTAAGGGGTTCAGGGGCTAGGGTTGATGATATAAATCCTGCATGACCCATTGTAAGGAATATACCATAATTCCCATAGTTTAGGGCCCTTAAGGTAATGCAGGATTTATATCATCAACCGTAGGGTTTAGCGTTTAGGAGTTCGGGGCTTAGGATGTCGATCCTAGGGCCTGGGGATGCAACATTAGCGCTCCGAATAGCCCAAGGTGAGCTAAATTGATGTTTTAGTGGTGTTTACCTGGAACCCATAAAAGCCACCGTTTTAGGTAGGGGTTGGGTTTCCTCATTGTGATGTCTTTCTATAAGCCATGGTAAGTTGTTTCGGGATTGAGGTAGTGCTTAGGTGCAGACCCCCGCAGCTTCTTGGCCATCTGAGCTTTGTGGATGCTTGCAGGGAGGAAAACTGGGCTGCTCTGGGTATCCCCTCTTACTTGGAGGATCATGGGCCTTAGTAAGTAAGGTTATAAGTACCCCCAAATGGGCTTATAAGTATAGTTACCCTAATAATGACTCTAGTTCCTAAGTCCCATGATCCTTTACGTAAGCTCAATGACATCACACTTAGCCAGAGACTCCAAGTGTAGCAATCTCATGTCAACTCGCTTGACAGGTTCATGCTGATGTTTCATGTAAAATATGGTGCCATCTCGTGATGGATAGACTACCCTGCATAGTTTTCGAGCATGAACAGTTCGACACAATGCCGTACTGCAACATGTGAGATACTTTGCTGACCCCTCACTTTGTCATGGCTTCGTTGATGCATGGTGTTACGATGATTGGCGTGACGATGAACGGCTAAAATAGGGGCCTGAATAATGAGAAAAGGGCTTTGGGCTGAAGTCTATGCACAGTATGGGAGTTTCCGAAAAGTAGGGGGTACCTTATTTTGGGGGTCCTTATAATAAGGATCCTACTATTTCGGGTACAATATTCGGGTCCCCATTTTCGGAAACTCCCGTATACGTGTATTAGTGAGCCCGAAGGAAGCGTGTATGAGGCAACCTCGCCTCGCATGGTCACCACTACCCATAGGCCCCAAAGTAGTTCCTTTTTAAGAATACCTATTAGGATTCTATATATGAACCCCAAAAAGGAACTACTTTGGGGCCTTAGGGTCTGCAATTATCACGAGCATCTTAATCTGCAGCATCTTGACGCTGAGCATCCAAATATACAAATATTGCTGAGTTTCGGTGTCTCCCAGAACCTTAAACCCCGTATAAGCCCAAAACCCTACATAAGTCTACTGACAGCGCCGTGTCTTTGGGCTACGTGCTTGCAGCCTCACTACCGCGACCGGGGCCACGACAGACACGACGACAGCGACGGCGGCAGCAACGATGACCACTTCCATGATAAGAACACAACCATTATTGGGCTTTAAAGTAATCAAGGAGAAAAAAGTATAAACTTTTATTTCACAATGGTTCCTTTAAGAAAACGTATTAAAGTATGGCACTCCAAAGGGGCAAATGAAGTACTTCTACCGGTACTAACTACCACTGCTTTTCCTCGCCACAAAAACCAGCATGATTCTGACTCCGGACTTGCTACGTGGTGTCTGCTGTAGCCGGGCAGCCGTGATCCAACCCGGCAATCTCGATGGCATCGTCAACTTTGACTCTCAAGGGCGCCAGCACCTTACTATAGGGGCCTTAACAATTAGAATACAGTTTTGGGACCTATTATACTATACTTATAATGCGGAACCCCAAAAAGTATAGTTAATCATTAAGGGGTGATTATGTAGGGCTTCAAGCTAGGAGGACACGGCTCAGATTTCAACCTGTCTGTATTGCAAACCCTCGGCCGTATCTACAACCAGTTCTATCCGACCCGAACTCGAGCTGCTATTCCTTGGGATACAGTATATATATATATATATGCATATATATATATATATACTTCAGACTCACAGTTTACACCCCCACTGCCACGAGTTCTAAAGGACCTCACACAATGTGGTTTCCATGACAATCATGTGCGTAGTTCGCGAAACTGCTGACAACGCTTTCCCTGATTTCTGCTCGTGTGACGCCCTCTGTCTGGAACCAATCCTTTGCGTTTCGATGACAATTCCCCCAACTGAAAGCATCATGTCCCCTTACTCCCGTTCCACACGACAGCTACGGGAATCCTGTCATGGCAGCGTTTTGGTGGCATGCTGTCGCTTGTGGCTTCCACTTTGAAACTGGCTAACTATGCCCTATGTCGCAACCCAAAATCCTGAACCCAAACCTCAAACCCCTGAAACCCTTAAAACCCTAAACTGAAAGCCTACAGTAAACCCCAAACCCCGACCCTAGCATCTCTTATCTTTGGCTGCTTGCGCTAAAAGCTCCTAAATCCGACAGACTTCCAGCTGGGCCGACCCCTTGATTGTTTACCCGAACCCTAAAAACATCTGATGTACAATACTGGAAAAGGAGCGCTCAGGAATATTATTATTATTGATATATTTACTCAGGCTTCGAGCTTACCTTCGCAGGGGCCACGCTTTAGGGTTCAGGGTTTAGGGCTTGGATACGGCAAAGTCAACCGCAACTGAGCCTAGTAACAAGAATGGTTACATTAAGCTTTACATGGGGTTACCACGCCATGAGGTTGCTATTAGGGTTACTACAAGACAGGGGTTCCGGCTGAGATTCCGAAGCCCTACAACCGTTCCGCATCGCAGACCCATACCCAGAACCAAACACTTCAAGCATCTGACCTTCAAACCCAAGACAATAAAAGCAGAGTGCCGCCCAGCTGCCGGCGCAAGGAGGCCGTCCGACAATTTGTAAGGCTCGTTCTGCAAGAGTTCATGCACCTCCTGTGGCTGTTGCAAGCGGCTCGCATAACAGCATGTAGGCGGTAAATGGTCGCTATGGGATGGGTCTTCTGCTTTTCTCGCCTTGGGTATTTTCTCGTCCGTGTCTAGGCAGTCCAGCAGCACAAAAAGAAGCCAAGGAAAGACAGTGTCAAGACACATCTCCGCCTCTCTGCTCCCACACTTTTGACTTCGAGTAGCATAACGATGTATAGCAAGATGAAAAAAGCGACAGGCATGACCAATAATCACATATGTATATATATATATATATATATATATATATATATAGATATATGTATGTGTATATTGAAATACAAATAAACAAATAGATAGCCATGTGCACCTGTTCGTGCGTGATTGCATATACGTCTTGGCTTGCTGGCCGGTCCATGCAATTATTCGGCTGCAGGTAAACTTTAATTCCATGACGTACAGGTACAACCCTTAAAGGCTCTTGAACTCAGGCGGTGCTAACAACACAACGAAAGTGAGTCCGTACATATGCATGTACACACATATGCAAAAAAAAAGTATTCACACGAGCCCGCATGCATTGAACGCTGCATGAACGATTAGACCAGTTAACATGGTCACATGACCTGCGCATATATATATATATATATATATATATATATATGATACGTATACATACATATGTATATATACACACACTCACATTTGAGTACATATTTGCATAAATGTATGTAAAATACACATTGTATATATATATATATATATATATACATTGACAACTTACAAACCTTGATCTATGTATGTACTCAGCTTTAACCATTGCAAATGCAGGACAAGAGGACACACAGACAGACCGAGAGATAACAAGCGGACAGAAACTTGAATGGTGCTCGTGGACTACGGAGAAAACAAGATTTGTGATTTGTCGTGTCGCTGCAGCATATAACTGTATAACCCCGCTGCACGAATGGCAAGGAAGCTCCTGTCTACAGGGCTTCGAGGTTCAACTTGTGTGGCGTTCTTCCACGAATCCGATATCCTCATCCCGCACTGTGGGGCTGAAGGCCCAACCGTGTGCCTGGTTGTGCTGGAACATGCTGGGGTACATCTTCCGGAGGAACAAGAAGCAGACGAAGCAACCTCAACAGTGATCTTGGCATGTCTACACGAAATCGCGGAGGCTCGCCTTTGAACCCTCCAACTACATATTCTGAGCCAGTTGCCTTCAAACCGCTATCAAAATCTACAAGCCTTCACCCAGAACCGCGAACAATGTGAATCCCCAAACGCCGAAACCTTCAACCGTGGAACACAGACATCTATATCCTGAAGCAGAACCACGATACTAGGAGACCATATTCGAATTCAGTACAGAACTTGGGCACCAGAACGACAACACACTGTAGGACTTATAGGGTCCATCTGCAAGTCGGACACAAACATAACATCGACAGTTCAAGAAGACGAGCTTGGAAGCGACACTCCTGTTGTCCTGCTGCTGATGGACAAAATCCTGCATTATCCTTTATAAGGAATATACCATAGTTCCCATAGTTTAGAGTCCTTAGGGTCATGCAGGATTTTGTCCATCAAGAGTGTGGCTCTCTGTGCGCCCTATAATTCCTTCAACCAGAAACGTGCTCATGTCTGGGCTGCTCCCAGATCTTCCAATGTCCCTTAACTAAGGAATGCTCCTTAAATCATAGTAGGTTTCCGGTTATGGTAGTATTCCTGATTTCGGGAATACTGGAATTTATGGGTGTTGACCATACTCTGAAACCCCAATATTCATCACCCTGGGCCCATGTTGATGAGATGGAGTGGAATGCTTCGGACTTAGGCTTCGTATTGTGCAATATAGGGGCCTTAGTATCTATACCTAAGCTATACTATTTGGGAGCGGGGCGTCCCTTCATATGGGTATAGTATAGTATAACCTATATGCCACAACCCTACTCTAATTGTTAAGGCCCCTATATTATAGAATCCTTTTAGAATTGCATTAAATACCATGGATCTCTATAAGGCCCTCTTTTGAGGAATCCTTGGGAGGAGCCAAATTCTAATTTTTAAGGCCCCAATACCCCTTATAGTAACCCCTGTAGACCCCTTAAAGGAACCCCTTTAGGGAACCCTATTACCCTGATAGTAGCCCGTATAAACCCCTTTTAAAGGAACCCTTTTAGGGAGCCCTATTACCCTTCCTTCAAGGACCCCTGTAAGGAACCCTTTCAAGGAAACCTATTACCCTTAGAGTAGCCCTTTAAGAACCCCTTTAAGGAACCTTTTTGGGAACCCTATTACCCTTCTAGTAACCCTTGTAGCCCCCTTTTAAAGGAACCCCTTTTGGGGAACCCCAGTACATACCCTGACAGCAACCCTCTAAGGATCCCTTTAAGGAACCCTTAGGATTATGATGGGGTGGGCTGGAAGCCTAGGCCTCGGAGTTCAAGGGCTAAGTTCGAGGCTTCAGGGCTTCCACCGCAGGACGTAGTTAAGTGTGTGATTAGTCTAACTACTATAGTATATTGTAATATGTGACACTATAATAGAATAGAGTACTAATTACTATATATATATATGTATATGATGTAATATGTTGCAATGGAACATACATGCAGATGTGTTTGTATATCTATACAGAGACATGCATCCAAGCCGCAAGCTATGAACCCCAGACCCTGACAAACACAAGCGCGAAGCTCGCTGTTGTCGAATCACCCATCTTCCCCCACAGCGGCCAACGCCCTTCAATTAACCAGGAATGCACCTGAAATCATATCCTTGCACCACCAACTTACGAAGGACATAAACCTCACTACTGCAGTCAGCCCCGAGTTATGTAAGGGCCATTCCTTAATGGAAGTAGTTCTGCTCTGGACGTTCCGGTTCTGCCAAGAAGCCCAGAGCCATCACCATGTTCGTCATGATACCCGCCCAGAATGCGGCGAAGTCACCCTTTGCATTGAAGGTAATGCCAACCTCACGAAGCTAGGCCACTTGTCTTGGGTTGAATGTTTTGGGGTTTTGGACTTCTTGTGAAATGGAGAGGCTTCGTTGTCCGGAACGTACGGGGTAAAAGGGCAATGGAGAGATGCTGACCCTGAATAATCAACGCCTTCCTCAAAGGCCCCAACTTTAGAATCTCTGCTATTATCCCTATACAGGGTAGGGGGGTTAGCAACCAAGGTCCACGCTATATACTACTGGGTGGACCCTCAGGGCATGTGTCTGTCACGGTATGACATTTAGGGCCAGAGTGCTTTTGAACCCTATCCCGGACCTAAACGCTAAAGTCCCGAACTCCAAATCCCGGTATACCTTAATTCTTACTCCAAAAACCCGGCAGTAAACAAACTCTGTATAAGTGCCTTATGAAGCTCGTGTACAGCCCAAGAAAGAGTAAAACACGTAAAACCCTTATCAAACCATTTTAAACTCCATTAGAAACCCAGAAGACTACCATGTCCGGCCAGGCAGCAATCTTTGCTCCACTCACATTTTGGGGGTCGAATGATGTGTTGCCGTCCTGGTGCGAATTGCCTAGCCGAAGTCTAGCTCATAAGTGCAATTGAAAGGCTTAAGGCTTGGTTTAAGGTAGGTCTCTGCCCCACTGCCTCAAACTAAGAGGGCAAAGGGGGAAGGTGGTTCGCGAGCTGACGTATGGAAGCTGCGATTCCCTTCCGAGATGATAAGGGCACCATGGAGGAGCTGACAAACTCTGCCCTAGATGCTAAGAATGCGGGTCGCATCGACAGCTGCCAAAACAAAAATAAACCCAAGAAGCCCTGAGCCCGATACCCCGATCCCGAAACCGTAGCCCGGAAGGTCCTAGTACTTCCTGTTATAGGACTTTAGGGCCTTTTTTAAGCATCAACAACCATAAATAAGGACCACCTGGACCCCTTGTCGGATTTAGGCTTTAGGGTTTAGGGGTTTAGGTCTTCAAGGTTCAGGGTTTCAGGGTTTTGGGGCAGGGTGTGGATCCCGACGCCCGGTCCAGCCCGGGCAGCGGCGGCAGTGGCGGCAGTGTCTCCGACGTCACCTGCCCAGGGCCACGGAAAGGTACGGGCCTCCCTGCACTGGAGGCCAAAGTGAAGAAAACTTATTGGAATTTAATGCATTTTGTAGCATTAAAGTATAGTATACTATAGCCTTCGAGTATATCACCACAATATTATTGTAATATAGCAATATTGTAGTACGATGCAATGACTCGCTCTTTCCAGGGGACAGGGCTGCAGCCGGACACTGCAAATCATGGGACGGATTTTGCAAGTACTAGTACCTTCAACCCTTTCAAGAATCAGAAACTCCAAAACCTCAAGGCCATGCACCCAAGGTGTATGTACCAGATGCCCGGAAGCTGCAAATTCCCCAGCCCTCATCCCTACACTTTGAAGCCATATGTTTCTATATATATATATATATGTATACATATATTGTATATACATATACATGTGTTATTTTCTGTATGTATGTATGTATATATTTGTATATATATATATATATATATATATATATACAGCTACTACATACAATTGCACGCACGCACATGTGCATTCAATACATACACATGCTAACAATCGATTGTTCTTTCCTGATTGTTGTTTTGCCTATCATTACTGCTATTTAGTCCCGATTATTATTTCTGTAACAGCAATAAACAAGACCATCAATCCTATCATTGCTGCTAACTGCACGTATCCTACTGTCAAACAATCACATTGGGTATTTATGTTACTATTACGATTGTTGTGATTGTGCTTAGTAGATTTGCTACAACTATAATTTAGTCGCATTGCTACCGCAAGTGTGTTGAATTTATTGTGTAAGTCTAAGTTCTTCAACAAACCACCAGAAACTCCTCACGTTACAACTGTACAAAACCATAGGCAAAAACCGTTTTTCCTGTAGCACCCTAGGCCAGAAACTGTCCTTGTTAGGCAAAGTCAGATCATGCCTCGTTTGTACTCTCGACTGTCTGCAATTGCAGCGCCGAAGTGGGACCTACCCACCTTGGAGAGCTGTTGCGAGACATCCAGATGCTATTCGACACTGCTCCCTAAACTCTAAGCTGCAACCTCTAAGGCCTAACCTCCAGGCCTTGGTTCAAGAATGCAGATTCGAGGTTCGTGCATGAGGTTTTGAGGCTTAACCCTACACCCTTTCTAAGACTAAGCCAAAGATGATCCTCGTGCACATCCCCACTAAGATTTCTTGCACCTAAGGCATCGTGGTAATATGCATGGACACTCTACGCTACTAACGCAGTTTTGCACTTTAGAAACATTCCTGGAGGAGTATTAGCCTCTCTGCGTTGCACCTCGCGAATTTAGGGTTGAGCGGTTCAGGACGGTGCGGGGATTGTAGCCTTGCTCAATCTGGTTACGGTTAGAGGTAGGAGTGCGAGAGCGAGGCAAAGTTTGTGAGACCCAAAGCAAAGGGGATCTATGTAGAGAATCGCATAAATAGAACCCGGATCCCCAGAACGAGATCCAACGACGATGCACATCCTGTTTACCGAATCCTTCCTGGTTCCTGAGAGTCTACCTGACTGAAGTGGCTGAGGGGTAATGCTCTGGGGGTTGTGATCATTTCAGATGTGTGTTATCATATGTATATGAACTATTGCATGTGATGGCCCGTATGCGTGCATGCATTAGTGCATGCGATGACCGCTGTTATAGCTATGATGAAGAAGCTGGTGACGGTGATTGATACTACTGTCTAAAGCCTCGACCTGCAACAATAAAGCGGCCATCGTGGGAATCTAACACCTGGTACAAAGCCTGGTGGATTTCCTGGCCGTCCTACCAAAACTATGCAAAATCTGCCTCGAAGGCTTTGACTTCGAAGTGGACAGTAAGAAATAGATCATACAAGCCCCAGATTCAATATCCTAAACCGGAAAGCCCTCCAAGCGCAAGCCACGCCCTTCAGTTAGCCTCGAGCTCCTAGATGCTCCTCTCAAGGTCTTGAGGGCTCGCAAGCAGCTGGGCGGCGAAATGGAGGTCTGCAGCAGGTATGTGGAGCCTTCCGGAAGCACGTTGAAACGGTTTTATGCCTATCCCATGTTAACCAAATGCTACTTTCCCCTACAATATATATTCTTGTATACACCCTGGACCTACTATTGAAAATTAGAACCTTTGGACTACAGCCCTTCTCGGCCCCTGAACCAGGAGGCAGAAGCCCCTCATGCAACCGTATCCCCCCCAAAGAAGGGTCTCCTGTAGAAACACTTACAGGGAACTACAGAAAGTTGGAATATGGTTTCATGGTAGGATACCCTATAATTTACCATAGAAGGGTTAGGATAATCATATTCCAACTTTCTGGCTTTTACCTTAGATGAACCCATGTAGAAACCTGTTTAAGTAACCTAAAGCCTTCCCGGGGCCTTCTTCCAGCTCTGCGGGCAAGTTTGCCGCCAGAGACTTCGCTGCAGCCAGGGCAGCTACGAGCCTAGGATTCTTGAGGTTTAGGCGTGGTTTCGCTAGGGTTCCGCACACGGTCCTGAACAAAACGAGAGACGCAGCATTGTGGGCATCGCAAAAAAACGCCGATTCAGTCAATCGCAAGGTCTGCAGCCCTCACGACCTCGCTTCTAAAGACGCAGGTAATGTAGGGGCCTTAATAATTAAAGTAGGGTTTTGGGGCCCATCATACAGTATTTATAGTAAGGAACTCCCAAAATTGTATTGGTACTTACTTAAGCCTTAAGCAGGGTCCCGATAGTCAGTATTAGGGTTCATCATAACTACCCACAGGCTCCATAATAGTTCCTTTTTGGATTACCTTCTAGGATTCAAAAAAATATGAACCCTAAAAGGAACTACTATGGAGCCTATGGGTAGGTAGACGGGCCAAATTTCGCCTTAGGCTCCATAGTAGTTCGTTGTGGGGATTACCTTATAGGATTCTAAATCTGAACCCCCCGAAAGGACCTACTATGGAGCCCATGGGTAGTTTAAGAACTTGGGTTGTCAGGGCTCCGGCCGTGTGGGGCTTTGGTCCTTGAGGCTTTTGCGAGATTGAGGGTTCCAGAGTTTAGAGCTATAAGGAAGGTCAGACGAGTCAATTTCCGATCCGGTCCAGGCGGCTTAAGATAGATCTTCACGAGCATGGTCCGCAGAGTTCGCCGGTACCAAATCTACGTGGAAAGGACCTTGAGTCACTGAATCGCGCTCATATAAAGCCTTGTAGGGATGGAGGGAGAGAGAGAGAACATAGACAAACACTGTGTGTGTATGTATATATTATATATTCATATAGAGATACATGTACCTATAGCTATTTACCAATCTAGTCTTTTTGTTTGTCTATGTATTTATTTATTTACATCTGTGTGTGCGTGTCCGTGCGTGCGTATGTGTGCAGTGCAAGTGGTCTCTGGTACTGGTGCTGTTGCTCTTGTAGCTAAAGTTACTCTTGTTACGGATGCGGTTGTTTGGAGCTGATTTCACGCGCGGTTCAACTGTGCAGTCGCTGTTGCATTCTCGCAGCATTTGGAATGAGTGGTGGCTGCACTGTTCTATGAACCGTTGTTTCTATTGTCATGTGTAACTACCACCTTCGAAAGCACCTGGCAGAATCCGTCGCAGAGTATTCGATGGTCTTTTGCACTTCGTCCCACGACCAACGTAAGACAGTAGGAAGGGTGAAGTCAGGGCTCAGCTGCAATCACAGGCGGTAGTCCCACTCGTCACGACCCGCCATGTAACAAGAGCAACGACTTCGTGTTCTTTGCCCCTTGCTCGATTAAGCTTTTTAATGCGATGTTGATCATGAGCCACATATTAGCCTTGTGCACGTCTGACAAGTTCATTGACCACCCTAACATACGGAGCATGGCCGTCATTCGTGTCGTTCTTGAAGGTTATTCTGGGTGCCGCCATACCTCTGCTACTACTGCAGACCACTGG